CCCCAAAACCCCAAAACCCCAAAACCCCAAAACCCCTATATTATTACAATTTGTTGAACTTTAAATCATGGAGAAGAAAGAATCGGTGACAAAACTAATTGAAGACGGAGTCAAAGACTCCAGATCAGAAGTCTCAGAAGAGATAGTTTCTAAAGTTACTGATATGATCCAGGAAGATAGGAAATATGCCAAGGAAGCAGTCACAGCTTTTACTAAAATCTTTAAGAGTGAGAAATACAAGAAGAGTTATTTAGCGCTCCTGATGATCGAACAAGTCTCGAAACAAGGAACGCTTCAGTTCCATGAATACCTTTCTCAGGATGGGTTCATGAAGGAATTCATGAAGTGATTTAAAATCTTAAGAGGCAAGGGAGGGATTTTTAGCAGATGGGAAAGCAAAAGTAAATAAAGAACTTAGGGTAAAGCTCCAAGAGCAAGCCCTGTACATGCTTCAATTATGGGCAGATACATTCATGATGTACCAAGAGACATATCCTGGATTTCAAAAGTGATATAGAGAGCTAAAAGTTGAAGGCATCGAATTTCCAGAACGGCACAAGATGGAAGAGACTATTATGAACAATCTTGAGGGAATAAATTCACCTATGTATGACTTCATAATTCAAGCAGAAAAGAACCGTAACGAGGAGCCTCCAACCAAGAAGAGCATCACCTCAAGTGGGAGGAAGAGTAACCCTGAAAGGAAAAATAATCCTAACAGGAAGAGTAATGTTAGTCGTAAGAGTAAATCAATTGGAGGACGATACTCAGATTTAGGCAAAGTTAAAGAAGCCCCATTGGAAGGGGAAGATAAGATAGATATGGACCCAGATCTTGAAATTTCCGAAATTAATATGAAGCTCCAAGACTTGGAAGATAATCATGGTTATGTGGAAGATGAACTGAAATATAGTGAAGAGATTGAGGCTGCCAACTACAAGAAGTATACTCAAGAGGAGTTTGATAAAGCTGTATTTGAGATATCTAAAAGTCATTTCGATCGGCTAGATGACATGCTCAACAACTGAGAGTCATACACAGATATAATGACTGAGGTCATCATTGAAATGTATGAAGAAGCTTTGAAAGGAAAACTCAAGTGTGAAAAGATCATGCAGATTAGGAAGAGCCAAAATTTAGAAGGCCCAGATGATAAAGATGCTAGAGAAAGCCTTATTCACATGAACCTAAAGATAAATGACTTCAAAGAGAAATATTACTTATTGAAAGAACGTCAAGTTCGAGAATATAATAAAGCCAAAAGAAGAATTGAGAAGAAAAAGAGAAAAATCGAGAAAGATAATAAAAAGGCTGAAAGACGTAGAAAGAGAAGAGAGGAGAAATTGGCAAAAAGAAGGGAACAACTCAACTCAGCTAACCCATTCAGCGTCAACGATAAGGATGGTATGGCCAACCAACCCCTTGATGCGACCGTCCTCTCAGAGAGTGACACAGAATCTTCTCACAGTGATAGTTCTGAAAGTGAGAAATCTGAGCTTGGTAGTGACGAGGATGGTCTTCATGCTCCAAAAAGTATGCATGAACTCAGGCTGCAAGAAGCTGAAAGGAAGCGCATCAGGAATAATAAAAAGAGAGATAAGGAGATCAAGAAAATCCTTAAGGATAAAGAGAAGAAAAGGAAATCAAAAATAGAAGGTAATGCAGGATCGAATGGTGGAGGATTCTTGAGAAATTCAGTCCTTGTTCAGAAAACACTTAACTTCTTTGGAAGAGGGAGCAAACCAAAGGAGACCCTCCTCAAGCATACTGATTGTGATGATGAGGATATAGAGGCAAAGAAGCTGGATAGTAATGATGACAACCAGGATTTGTTTGAGCCATCTGATAATTTGGAGAAGAGACCTGAGGAACAGCCCAAGCTGAATGATTTCTTTGTACAGACTTCATCTAAACCTTCCAAAGAAATAGATGGTGAAGAGCAAGCCTGAAATAACGAGGAAGATAAGAATGAGGAGGCTACTAGTGAGGAAGAAAAATATGAAGAGGAGAAAAGGAATAGCGATAATGATGCCTCTCCTAATGCTTTAAATGGAGATGAGGACAAGAAAGATATCTTTGAATATCAAGGAAAGCCACCTACTGGCCTTCCCCCACTATCTAAAAAGTTCAAGTCAACTAAAGACAAGGGAGCAAAGGGAGTTAAAAAGTTGATGGCTCCTCCAAAGGCGCTTGGAAACAGACATAGTGTTTTGCAGCAGCCGAACCTCTTAAATTTGCTGGATAACTAAATATTACAAACTTTTATCTAATAATTCAAAATAATTCTGCCAATTTGAATTTTTCAGGTTGGGGTTTTGGGGTTTTGGGGTTTTGGGGTTTTGGGGTTTTGGGG